TGTAGGCAGATCGTCGTGACTTGTAGCAGCGGCCGTTGAAGCTGTACCAAATATTGGGACAGCTGCCACGCTGTAGCTTCACTGGATGGACAAGTGATGGAGGACACAGCACCCAGAGTCAGACCAAACAAGAGGAAAACAGGATCATGTTGTGTGTCAGAGCTTCAGTCTCTATTTAAGTCTTTGGAGGTATCTGATCGGCACTGTTGGACAGCTATCAATAATCTTGCAGGAACAGTTGGAAAACCACTGTCTTTTATACGCTTCAGGGAAAGGTGTGATATTCTGTTGGTGTGACATCATTGGTCAAATGTAGGGGTGTGTCCGCAATGAATCACACTGTTGCTCAATTCAACAGGAGTTTTGCTGCTACACTCTGCTATAACTATAGCTCATGATTGCTAATATTAGTAAACTTTAGGTAAATATAGCTCTATAACAAAAAAGCATAGTTTTCTGACTTTACAACTCTTTTCCACTTGGACTACCATTGTATTAGTTTAGCTTTTTTATCTAAATGCTAAATTACTGTTTAGCTCAATGCTAAACAGGGTGGTAAAATTTAACCAGGGCAGAAAAACAAGGAAATAAAAGACAAGCAATAAATGTTTAATAATTGTCAACAGTTGTTGGACTCTGGCACATTCAGGAGAACTTCAGTGTTTGTTTTTTATGATAAAATTATGTTTCTGTTGTATCATAATGATGCTTAACAACATTATCACAGTATTAAACAAAATAGGCCTGAGCTATTAAGAAAGCTTATATACTATTCCACACAAATCTACTTCTGATATCCATAAAGATGTTGTCAGTTCCTCTTATTTTGACACTGAACTTTTCATTGGAGATATTTTGGTGGAAATCACCAATAATTTTGTGTATGTGTAAATGAAATAACATCTTTATTATCCTCAAGCAATCCTTATTATTTTTAAAGGTCCAGTATGTAACATTTAGGAGGATCTACTGGCGGAAATAGAATATAATGCTGCCAACACGACCAACATTATCACCAAGGCCGTCATGCGCAAGTTGTTTTAAGCGCATCACCATCCAGTCCAGCTGGGATAGAAACGCATCTGGGCCGGGTGAATAGAGTGTAAACGCAAGCTTGCTGGTGTTTGTTTTTACAGACAATAATTCAAACCTCCTCTTTCCATAGGTTGTGGTCTCTTTTTCTGATCCGAAAGTCATCCCAACTAAATTTGTCTTGTACAGAAAAAAAATGCCAACATGATTTTTAACAGACACGGCAAAGCCACAAGTTCCTCCTCACTTGACCTTACCAACATGTGGAAAAAAGAGGAAACATAGTGGAGGATGCCAATTTGTCCAAGGGCCTTGGACTCAACCCACACTTCCAACTTGGTGAATCAAGTTGTGAACATTTAAGGAGTGATAAGCCAGATTTACTGCACAGAAAGACAGCTAGCTATAAAGAAGTCCAATTCAACTAACACTGTGGTGACAGAAGAACAGCCTGACTCTCAATGTCAACACAAACCAAGGAGCTGATCGTGGACTACATGTGGACAGGAGAGAAGTCGAACCCCATCACCATCCGAGGGTCTGCTGTAAAGAGAGTCAGCAACTTTAAGCTCATTGGTGTTCACATCGTGGAGGACCTCACTTTGGATGACCAAACTGAACATGTGGTGAAAAAGCAGTGATCCTGTGGTTCTTCAAGAGTTATATATGAGAAAGTACCCTTTCTACCCATGACTTTAGTCATATCCTTCCAGACCTTGTATTAAATTTTCTACTGATTTAGAATGAAACTTATTTTAGCTTGTGAGCACTACTATGACAGGTCCAGCTATAAAACATTTGGAAATGGTAGACCTCCTCTTTGTCTGCCAGCTTTAAGATATGTACAGTACATATACACTGAAAAATCTAAAGGTACACTTTTTTTACATTGCAATGAAAGTTACCATTATCTGGAACGAAAACATCATAGTCCACTGGGAAACGTGCATGAGGAGTGTTTGGATAAAAATTAACCAGGAAGCTCCTATATAGTTAAATTTTTATTGCATTGGGACAATACAGTGTTATCACAGTGCCAAACAAACATAGGCCTGAGCAATAAAAAAGGAAGACAGACCTACAGACAGACAGACAGACAGAATAATAATCAAGAAAAACAAAAAACACCCCAAACTAAAAACAGAAAACAAAAGCGCCACCCCTCCCTCCCAGGTACATTAACACACCCTCATATTAGGGACATTCGCTGTTAGTTACCAGCACTCTGTGCAATAAGAAAAAACCATGCATCCCAGAGAAACGGAGAGGTTACAGGTACAGCTATCATCTTTTTATTAGGCCAGCTAGTAGGACGTGCATCTTAAGCTTAGTGATATTGAGCTTTGATAGACCATTTCTCAGTGATAGCAAGTAAGACATAACCCGCATGAGGGATCATTTATCATTTTCATTTAGTGGAGTCTGTTAGAAATGTTCTATGAGCACAGTTAAAGCAGTGACGTCTGGTCTTTATGAATTCCAAATCCCAAAAAATTAATGGAAATAGAGAATTTAATAGTGTATGGACAGAATAATTGTCTTTCACCATCAATGCTACTGGCTTACTTCTATGTTTGATCTGCAGTAAGAAATGAGCATTATATGGCTCAAATATGCGTCGGGGTCCAGACATATACTTATTTAAATTTTTGGTCCGAAATGGCTCTTTTGATAGTAAAGGTTGCTGACACCTGTGCAAGACTAAACACCCTCCCAGTTGAAATCCAGGTCTAAATCTGTCACGTCTCCTGAGTACATTCTTCTTTTTCTCGTTGCTTAACTTCTCTTAATATTATGTCCATTACTGCTCTGTTAGCTATTCTCAAAACTGCTGGCCTGTTTAATATCAAACAAGAATGGGTCATACCAACCTTTTCTATGTAGAACTTTCCAATTAATAGTTTTGTGTATTTTATGAGAATAAATCACTGAATTATTGCCTATCATTTCCCTTTTTAAGGGTTGCGGCCCGAGGAACTTAAATATTAGTTATTATTTATCATCTTTGATAATTGATCATTTTGATTACACAGTGTGGTATACCTTCAAACCATTGTTACCCCAACAAATGGTGCCACTGAGTTAACCATAGTACCAACAGAGTGTAAATTAGTGTGCTCAAAGATATGACAAAAAATCTTTTGGTGGAAATCCAAAAGTATTTTGAACTTGTTTAATAGACATAACAATGTTATCAAATGTCATGAAACAATACCTTTATTCATGAGTTAAATGTTTTCTTTTAGTTTTCTTCTAAATCTATACGATTTTCTACGGGTAATTGAAGAAAACTAAAATATTTGACACATTTGTTTGACATTTGAAAATGAAAGCAAATGAAATTATTTCTGTATACAGGCATATGCACATTTTTATCTTTATCTTTCATTCCCTGAGTTGAATCAGAAAAAAAATGTCTTGGTTGCTAAAGACAAACTGAGCGGGTTTCACAAACAAAAGTAAATAGCTGAGAACAATGAAGATCGTTCCATTTAAAATGTGTGCCAAAGTTTGTGTGTCCACAGTGTTCATGTCCTCCATAGTTGTCTGGCTGTCCTGCATCCCAAAGGACAAAGTCAACTGCAGACCCATCAGACCACATCCATCCTCCTTCTTTCTGAGTGTCGCTGATTCCAATCCAGGTAAATCCTTGGGCAGGGTCAAAGTTCTTGATCAGGGAATTGACAAAGTTATGTTCTT